CATTTCAGAATCAATTTCACTAGGCCACCTAGTATGACGATGACCCTGAACACCACCATGTGGACTAAAAGGTCCAATTTTTTCACCATGGTGCTTAACCGGACTATAAGGGACATCACCACCATACCTACTCGGTGTAACCGGAAAGAATCTAGGATCCTGCAACTGTGGGTCAAGTATATCAGGACCAATATCTACATACTGTCCTTGAGGATACGGAGGATGAGGAGGCATCATCTGATTTGGGTAATGACCTGGATACCAATTTTGAGGTCTCATATGCATTGGCAATCCATAAGGATCTCTATAAGGCGGAACATGAGCCGCCGGGTTACTCGCCGGAGGATACATTCCATAAGCAAAAGGCTCAGGATATGGACTGTAATAAGAAGGTCCATGACCATGGAAACCACCCATACCCATTGGTGGCTGATCTGAATCTTTCGGTTTATCATTAGCACTACCACCACGAAGAAGATGATCTTTTATTGAATCAAGCTTTCTCAAAAGCTCGGCTTGTTGTTGATCTGTGTACTTAACTGGGGTTTTTCTGGTGGTTTCTGGATCGTAATTTGTCTCTTCTTCCTCTTTTCTCGAGCTTTTCGCGAATCTCCCTGACCCAGGTCGTGAATTTGAATCTCGCATCGGGCTCGCCGAATCATTATGCTCTCTTTCTTCTTCGCTTCTCGAAGAACCAGCATCTGCTCCGTAGACGTCACCGCTTGTCCTCATCGGAAATTTTATTTTTCTCCGACGAAGACTAGCTTCTAGGGTTCTTCGTTTTAACTGCAACTGAGACAATAATCATTGATTCAGATGAAACCCGACTTTACCAACATATTTCTCCAATCGAAACATCTCCAGGGAATGGATTCAAAAGACCATTTCTAGAGTTTCTAGGAAGAAACTTTCTCGCAGATTTCACTATTTCTCAAGCATCCAACAAAAAAGAGAGGAAGAATCAAACGCACCTCGAAGAAAGAGTGATTCGTTGAAGCGGAGAGGAAAATTTCTCCAGTGAGAATCAATTAACAAGCTTCTTTGACGCAGCCATTTTTTTCTATAGAAAAGGAGATTTTGGAATTTTCAGAGGAATTTAAATAATCAAAAAGGACTTTAAAGCTGGAAGCAGCATAAAGGAGAAAATAATGGCTCTAATTTTCTCGCACTTTGCTTCGCTTTCTCGGGAATCTATTGGGAAAGCGAAGATTGACGATCAAATTTTGAAATGTCTCGGAGGAACTACTTGAAATGTCTGCAGAATAAGAACAAGAAACTTGAATTTTTCAGATTTTTACCCAACAAAAAAGAAAGAAAGAATTTTTCACATTTTTATTTTAAAACGATAGAAAACCAAATAGCTAACGTGACGACCAAATACGAGTCTTTACCAGGTCAAGTTGACCAATAACTAACGTGACGACCAAATAATATTTTGAACTCTTGTGCAAAATCTATAGTGCATAGATTAATTTTTATTTCAAAGATCAATTACAAATACCAAATTATTAGTTCTATTTTTCTTTTGTTACATC